TTTTTTTGTTTTAGTATTTTGAAGTTGACCAATTGTTACTATAAGCAATTAATGATTATAGATGATCTGCACCATAGTTTTGAGGTTACTTGTCAGTGGCATTTGGTAAAATATCATGCCAACAAAAAAGATAAACACACATATAGTGATCTTGTAATTAAAACTCCACATCAGATGATTGTTTTGGAACTTCTAGCTACTGCAACTAAAACACAACTCAATGAACACTTTGTACAAGCAATTGAATATGGGAATAAGCTATCTGCGGAAGATGTTTGGTTAGTACATTTTACATGTGAGGATAACTCAACCCAAAATCCCTATTATCCATCTAATGAAGAATTGAGCAAACTTAATATTATACACTTCTTGCATGATGTAAAGTTTAAAATGTGCGAATGAGTACTCGATTCATAGATAGCTCTGGTATTTTTAATTATATTAATGATGAACTGATTGTACATAATAATAATCTTAGTTAAGGTTTATGTAATAACTTTTATGTTAATTATGTTCTAAAAATTTCTTAGTTTAAGAATGTCTTTTGAGAATGAAATATATATGAAATGCAATTAATTTTTTGCCAATAAAAATGAAACCAAAAAATCATTGCTGTTTTATTATATATATTATTATTACATTAATATTGATTAATAACTTTTCAGAGACATATTGTGATAATTGGAATCCGCAGCACTATAAATGGTGCAGAAATGAAGAAAAATTCGAAAAATCTTAATTAAATAATTAAAAAACATTAAATGACTATTTTTATTTATTTATTTTTAAACAAAACCAATGAAGTGTAAAACTAATATATAGGATTATCCATATATGAAAAATAATAATTATAATGGTTCTAATGAATATGAAAAGGCAATCAATTTTTAAAAAAAAGGTTGTGGTTGTGGTTGTGGTTGTGGTTGTTCTTCAAGAATTCCCATGGAACAATTTGCAGAATTAAGGGAATCCTTTCAAGCTCTCTCAAAAACAGAACAAGACATATTTTTAATGGCCCAACTTAAAGCAATGGATGGTGGATCAACAATTACTAGTAGATGCCTTAAAAAGAAAACCAGATCTAATAAAAGAACTTTCTACCATTGAGATCACAATACACTTCTTTGTCAAGAAACTTATCTTAATATGTTAGAAATTGGTAGAACTTACTTTGAAAATATTAGAAATCATTTGATAAACAATGGCCTTTTACCAAGAATTCATGGTAATATTAAAAGAATGTCTCAATGGAAAACTAAAACAGTGATTGATAAAAATGTTGCAGAAGTAGTAAAGAATTTTCTAGAGAATTATGCCGAAGTTCATGGATTACCAAGTCCAGGAAGAAATATCAATAGAATAACTCAATCAATTACATTCTTACCAGCAAAAATGAGTTATAAATCAGTACATAGAAATTTTCTAGCTGGTCTAGAAGAAGATAACAAATTGAAATCCTTAAAATATGATGCATTCAGAAAATTATGACATAAATTGACACCAGAGATTCAAATTATGAGTCCAAGGACTGATTTGTGTGATACTTGTCAACATTTTAGGGATGGTTTACATTATAATGCTCGCCAAGAGGAAGAAGCTAAAGAATTACTTAAAAGATTTAAAGAACATCTGTCTAAGGCCAAACTAGAAAGAAATTATTATAATAAAAACACTAAATTAGCAGAAGAGCAAAGAAAACTGGTTAACCAAAAATATTCAAAGGGTAAAACATGGTATTGCAGTATTGATGCTACCGCTCATTATAGTTATGATTGAGCCCAAAATGTCCATATACCCCATTCTGATCAACAGGTAAGTAAAATCTATTACCTTAGTCCATGTAAAGTTCATTTATTTGGTATTCAAGATGAAGCAGTAAGGGAACAAATTAATTATGTTCTTAATGAAGATGAAATTATAGGAAAAGGACCCAATGGCACACTTAGCATGATTTTTGATGGAATTAAGAAATTAAATAAAGGTGAAAAGCATTTAAAGA